TTGCAAACCATCAGTAAAGAAACTAACTCACCCTGAGATCGGAGTTTCAGACCTTAATCAGTAAAGTCATAAATCATAAATCTGTCTTTATCTTGTCCAAGAGCCAAAAATCAGATCCCAGCATCCCCAGAGATGAAGATAGCATGTTTCCATTCCAGCTAGAAATCTCACTTTTATTTCTCTTGTTTTTGAATTTTCAATTTTATTTACTTCTGCCCTTATTATTACTTTGTTCAGCTGGTTGTGGGATGATTTTGCTCTTCTTTTCTTAGACTCTTAAGGTAGAAGTTTACATTATTGACTCAAGACCTTTCTTGTTCTCTAATTAGACATGCTATAAATTTCTCTCTAAGCACTACATTAGCTATATCCTGAAAATTTTGATTTATTGTATTTTCATTTTTGCTCAGTTCAAAATTTTTTTTAATCTCTTAAGACATTTTCTTTTATCCATGGATCATTTAAAAGTGTATTGTTTAATTTGCAAGTATTTGAGAATTGTCCTGTTAACTTCATTATTGATTCCTCGTTTAATTTTGTTATCAGAGAGCATACCTTGCATGATCTCTTTTCTTTTACATTTGTCAGGGTTTGTTTTATGACTCAGGCTTATGATATGGTTTAGTTTGGTAAATTTTCCCTGTGCACTTAAAAGAGGGTTTTTCTGTTGTTGAGTAGAATTTTATTATAAATGTCAATTTGATCCACTTGATTGGCGTTATTCAGTTATTTTATATTCTTGATTTTCTCTTTACTGCTACATATTACTGAGAGAGGAGTGTTGAAGTCGCCAATTATAATTGTGAAATTGTCTTCCTCCTTTCATTCTGTCGACGTTTTCTTCATTTTGAAGTGTCTGTGGTTGAAGTGTAGACTTTTAAGATAATTATATTTTCTTGATGAATTGACACTTTTATCACCATGTGATTTTTCTGTTTATCTACATGTCATTTTCTTTACGCTGTAGTCTACTTTGTCTGACATTTCTACAGTTGGCCCAGCTTTCATGTGATTTATGTTTATATTTTACATCTGTTTCCATCCTTTTACTTTTTATAAGTGAGTTCCTTTAGACAGCATATAGTTGACTCATTTTAAAATTCCTTCTTACAATCTTTTAAATGGTGTTTCAGACAATTTATATTTAATGTAATTACTGATATGTTTGGATTTAGGGATATCATTTAATTTTCTGTTCTCTTTGTTTTTTGTTTCTCTTTCTCATGTCATACCTTCTATTGGGTTATTTGAACACTTTTTACTATCCCATTAATTTTGTTTTTTGTATTTTTGATTATATATAGTTTTATACTATTTATGTTTTTAGGGGTTGCTCTAGGAATTACCAAAAGCATATTTAACTATTCACAGTTTATAAAGAATCACTACTGTAACACTTCAAGTAGAACGCAGGACCTTTATCACTGTAAGGATCTGCATACCTTCACCTCTTCATTGTGTATTACATCTACATCAGTGGAAAAACTCATCAGAAAATGTTATAATTTTCTACTTGTTGAGCACACTTTAAAGAACTCAAGAAAAGACAAATTGTTACATTTACTTAAGTATTTACCATTTTTATTATTCTTTGATTCGTGATATCCCAAGTTTCCTTCTGGCTAAAGAACTTCCTTTAGCAATTTTTTTTAAGAGTAAGTCAACAGGTAACTAATTTCTTAGTTTTCTTTTATCTCGGGATATATTTAACCTTCATTCCCAAAAGATATTTTTCTGGACATAAAAACCTGGATTGGACATTTTTCTTTTAATACTTAAAAAAATGTTGTACTTCTTCTTGGCCTCCATGGTTTCTGATGATAAATCTCCAGTCATTCTGATAGTTGCTCCCCTCTTAATACAGGGCATTTCCTGTAGCTGCTTTAAGTATTTTTTCTTTGTGTTTGGTTTTAACGAATGTGGTTATGTTGCGTGTAGGCATTGATTTTTTTGAGCTTTTCCTTTTTGGGGTTGGTTAAGTTTGTTGAATCTGTAGGTCTATATCTTTTACCAAATTTAGGGAGTTTTTGGCCAGTATTTGTTCAAATATTTTCAGAATTGTAGTCCTTTTTGTATTCTTATGTGACTTTGATATGAATGTTAGACCTCTTGGTACTGTCCCACAGATCCTTGGTACTGTTCATTTTTTTCTCTCCATAGTTTACATTGAATATGATTGACCTGTAGTTTGTGAACACTGAAATTTGGATTTCATATAATTTTCATATGTCACAAATTTTTCTCCTTTTTTTAACCATTTAAAAAAGAAAAAAAAATAGATCATGGGCGATGCAAAGAGATGCAATGAGCCCGTTCGTTTGGCCTACAGCTTGGTTTGCCGATCTCTGATTTAGTCCCATCAGTGATGGAGATGATTAGATGGTAGGTTTTAATTCCCTTCCTTTCCAGGTTGCCTTTACGGTCCTTGTTAAAGACTGGGGTATTTTATAAAGGCCAGTTTCATTTAACCTGTTGGATGCTGCTTTCACAAATAGCAGATGCACTCACGGTAAAAGAAACTCAAATAGACTTGACTTAGCTACTTTTCATAACATAAATTTTTATTCTTTACTATTTTAGAGCTCTCCAGTCCTCTGAAACAGAAGTTTGTTTTTGTTTCTGCATTTCTTCTAGCATTTCAGTGGTTTACAGTGGGAGAGTTGGTTTGATCCACCTATTTTACCATGTCTGAAGTAGAATAGCTCTCAACAAATCAGTTTTGCAACTTTAAAATAATAACTCTCCTGCCTGCCAGATTACATTCTTTGAGGAATAGCTTTTGATAATATATATGGAGGGGAAATTACACTCCTAGTACTGCTGAAGTGGAAAGTAACATTTTTTATACTTTTTTAATTTTAGTTTTTATTTTTAAAAAGATCAACTTTATGAATATATAGTTTACATACAATAAAATGCACAGATTTTAAATGTATAGTTCAATGAACTATCAAGAAATTGAACATTTCCATAACCTCCCAAAGTTCATTCTTTCCCTTTTGTTGTCAATCTTCCCCAACCCCTGCCTCAGGCAAACAGTGCTCTGCAAAATGTTTTGCAAATGTTCTGTTGTTGCACATATTTTTAGTACATCCCTATTTATTGCTGAATAATAATTATCTGAATATACCAAAATTTGTTTATCAGTTCTCCTTTTGCTGGACATTGATATTGTTTCTAGTGTTTGGCTATTATAAATAGAGCTGCCTTAAACATTTAACATTTATTAATGTCTTTCTGTGGATATATGTTTTCATTTCTCTTCGGTTAATACCTAGAGGTATAATTTCTGAATCATAAAGTAGATGTATATTTCAGTTTATAAGAAACTGCCAAATTGTCTTCCAAGATAGCTTGTACCATTTTTCATCCTCACTAACAATGCATGAGGATTGTTTTTCCACATCTTTGCTATCTCATGGTATTGTTAATCTTTTCAATTTTAGTATTCTAATACATGTGAAGCGGCATCTTACTATGGTTTATATTTATATGTCACTGAAGACTAATGATGTTAAACATCTTTTGTCTATTGTTCTTATTGTGTATTCATCCATCTTTTGTTAACTTTTTTCCCAATTTCTTAAAATTGGGTTGTTTCTCATTTTACTGATTTATGAGTTCTCTACATGTTCCACATACAAATTATTTATCAGGTATACTTTGCAAAGATGTCATCCCAGATTGTAGTTTGCCTTTTACTTTTTAAAAGTGATGCTTTTGGAAGAACAAGTGTTTTTAATTTTGATGAATTCCAAACGTTTGTTTCTTTTATAGGTAGTGTTTTTTGTGTCCTGCCTAAAATCTTTACTTACTCACTTGGTTGTGAAGATATTCCTTGTGTTTTCTTCTAGGTCCTTTATAGCTCTAACTTCGTATTTAGATTGAAAGACTATACATGTGAACTGTTATTTTTAAAGTCAGTGTTGTTCCCTTTATTGATCTGTCCAAGGGTGGTGGTTGAGTGTTTGTCAAATGGTGTTTCCGAAGGTTAAGTGCTTCAAATGGCTGTCCAGGACACTTGAAGCCATTGTTAGGGTGGCTTTTTACTTTCAGATGTTATAACTCATTCTGTAGATCATAATTACATTTCAATCTGTGTTATAGAGGAACAATACATTTTAACATTAACAAAAAGTCCAATCCTGAATAAAATATCACTCTAGAATTTTCTTTGTCTTCCCCCATCCCCCTGTTTTTCCTTCCTTCCCTTTCTTTTTTCCCCACTCTGTTTCTCCCTTGCTACATTCCTTTCTCCTTCATTAAAAAAAAAAAAAAACCAAAACAAACCAAAAAAAACCCAACAAAAAAAACTCTATGCCTTTCTAACATTTTGGTATTATGTCATTTAATAGCTGAGATTTTTAGATGATAAAACTACTCCCTAAGTAGTAATCAGTTTCTGAGATCAGATACTAAGATGTTCTTTTATAATGTCATGTTTGCATCACTGGTCTTGTGTACCCGAGTTTCATTGCTTTATTATACTACAGGAAATTATTTAGAAAGATATGGGGCTATATCCAGTGTCATAAACAGCTATCACTCATGGCTAGTTGATTTGTGGAAATATTCGCTGTTAGTAATGTGGTTTGGATAGAAAAAGAATTCTCTATGATCAAGGGAGTATTGGAAATTTTGTATTGCAGAATGAAATTCTCTCATGTACTTATGACCCCAACTTTTTTGAAATGACAAATAGTAAGTTTTGTGGGGAAAGAAAAGTACATGCTGTGTTCTAGTTACAGGGACACTGTCATTTGGAAGGCTAAGATTTCTGATAGAAGTTTGCTGTAATGTAGATTTTAAAATCCTATTGTGTAGTAACATTTCTTAAATCGGTTTTATAGCTTGTTGAGGTTACAACTTCTTAGTGTGCTGTAGATTGAATGGTCTGAATGAAATATCCCCTTAGGTCTATTTCCCACTTCCTTAAAATGCATCTTACAGGTTATGTACTTTTGCTTGGGCTAAAAAACTGTTCTTTTTCTTTGCCATAGGATAAAAAATGGGTTCTCAATCATGAAGATGTCACATTGGGAGAATTACTGGGCAAGGTATGTAATCAACTGAGCTAAATAACCAAAAGTCTTCATAGTGATAGTGAACTCTGCAGATTCTTCATTTTCTTCAAAGCCTTCTTATATTTCAGCACACAGCAAGGCACATTCCCACATTAACCGAGAAGAATGCAATACCACATCTGTTATAAATACTGTAATGTTCACTGAAATAGATGTGTTGAAATCTATGAAAGGTTTAAGGATGATCTTTAACTTTTAAAAATAGTATAGGTGTGTTTTCCTCTGGAAGGATTAAAAGCCATAGTGATTTTATTACAGTTGTAGAAAGCTAATACTAGTGACCTGAGATTTGAAAAGAAGTTGTGAAATGATAAAAGTTTAAATAAACACCTTATAATCTTGTTCCATTTGTTTCTGGTTATACATGATAGTTCAGAAAAGGTGAAATACTGCCCTTTGGGATTTCAGGATTGTGTATAGAATCATAGTATGTAACAACATTAGACATTGCTTCATCTAAAAATTATGTGGACAAGACACATGTTTCAGTATAAATATTAATTTTGGAGTTCTATTAGTAATCAGAGAAGGCAGCTATATATGCTGAAGTTCTCTTCTAATCTTGTTGGAAGTTTCTTCCAATTCATAGGCCATATGAAAATATATTATGTCTAACAATAATGCCAGATATTTGATAATTATTAATCAAATGGACTATTTGCAAATTTATTGTTTATTTATAATTGAGTTCCAATTGGTAAATATTAACTCCTTTTTAAATGACTTATTTAGTGATGTTTCTATTTAAAAGTTTGAATTGAGTTTAGTTTTATAACATAATATGAAAGATAGTACAAAATCCAGGTATTTTGGAAAACTATCATTCGTACATTTCTGAGTGGTCAGTACTAGACTTAAGGCTCAGCATTTTTCATAAAAATTATTATATAGATCTTTGTTTCAAATGTAAACATCGTGAATTGATAAATTTCCCCCTATTTTTTTTTAGCTCTGATGTATTTTAAGAAAGTAAATCACTGTTGAAATAATCTACTTTGCAGGATTCTTATTAATATTTTAAAATATCTTTTCCAAATGGAAGCATGAAATTGCTGTTGGAAAGTAGTTTCTATTGACTGCAAATACTTATTTAGTAAGTAAATTCTAAAGAATTTCAAGCTAAAAGTAGTAGCTGATGTGTTTATTTCTTCTGTGATGTGCTCATCATTCTTAAGGAAATATTCTTTCTTGTTTAAGTCAGTAACTCAGCATGGATTGGATCAAAAATTATTGCAAAGAGATTAAATAAATTTCCATGAAAATACAATTAAATAATAAATTGTAAAATTAAACCACTTACTGAAATAGAATGTGTTGAGAAGAACAGATTTTTTTTTTAGTACTCAGGAGAAAATATTTTCAGCTAAAGCAAAATATTTCAGTTATTTTTGTTTAGTTTAATATGTGAAATATGGTATATCAGGAGGAATTTTAGCCTCTATCTTCTTAGTAAGACTATTTCAAAGAATATTTTCTCAATGACAAGGCAGTGGCATGATAATCAGTTTCAATAAATGTAATCATTTTTAATAAAATACTGGAACTTTAAAGACAATGGTGTAGCTTAACTTCAGCTAATATTTTTGAGTAGAAAATGATTTGTCATTTAATATTTTCACTACCTATTCTGAATAAATATTTACAGTGTACTGCTTGAGAATGCATGAGTAAAAGAGAATTAATCATAGTTTATACACTACAAACTTTGGAGTTTAGTAGTAATATAAGGCTGAGACAGGGATTCTAACTTTTTTATTGAGCACTATATTCTTAGTTTATTATACTTGATATATACTTGTTATTCAATTCCCAAATATTTGTTGAATTCCTGCTATGCCAGGGATTCTTCTAGGCAGTAGGGATAGATCAGTGAACAGACAAATATCTGTACCCTTTTGGAGCTTAGATTCTATCTAATGGGAATACAGATAAACAATAAACATATAGAGTAAATTTTATGATGTTAAAGGGTGCTAAGTTCTGTAAAAAATATAGAGAGTTTAGGAGTCCTATTGGTCTGAGTTGCAATTTTTAACAGGGAAATCTGGGTAAGCCCCATTGAAATTGTTACTTTTCGAATAAAAACTTGAGGAGGCAGGATTTAGCCATCTGAACATCTGAGGAATAGAGTTCTAGGCAGAAGGAGTAACCAGTGTAAATTTTAATTCAAGAGCAGCAAGGCAGACTGGCTGTAACCGAGTAGCCATGGAGGACTATGATAGGATAGGAAGGCAGTGAGGTGGCGAGGAGGTAGGTCATGCAGTGCTTTGTAGGCCATTGTAATTACTTTGGCTTTGATTATGTATGAGAAGTTAAAATGGTGGATGTTTTTGAGTGGAGGAGTGGCATGATTTTACTTTTCAAAAAGGTCACTTTGGCTACTGTGTTGAGACTAGGCTGACAAGTTAAAAGGTTAGGAAGCAATTGCACTTAGCTAACTAAAAGATGATGGTTGCTGGATCAGGCTGGTGGCATTGAAGGTGGTGAGAAGTAGTGAGTTCTGGATATTTTTTTAAGGTTGAACCAACCGACTGTCCCAAAGAGGTGTTCTGGCAAGCACAATCTTTTTCTCAGTGTTTGCAGATTCCCCCTTTGACCACTGTTAATAGAGTGGAAGTTCTTTGAGTAGTGATTGTTGAATGAATGTTTCAGTTTTTCAGATGCCTAGTATATGTTAAAACCTTTTATACAGTGCAGAAACCAATAGAAAGATACAAAGGGGCAATGGGATGGATGTAAGTATTCAATAACAGTACATACTTTTGGGAAAATGAAGAAAATCTTCATGAAGGGTGGGCATAAGAAACGAACATAAAGATTAGTTAGCATTTTCCCAGATTGTAGGTGGGGGGTGGTTTTCCATAGAGGAAAAACAATGTAGAAAAGGCATGGCACATATTTTGGGATCACTAAATATAATATTTAAGTTTAGGATGCATGTAACAGTTGGAGGCTGTAATGCGAAGAGCTAGATAGAGGCTGAGAAAGTGATGGAAATTGAAGAATGGATATTGAGTAACACAGTGGTATGATTAAAGTTGTCTCTTGGAAAGATTAATCTGGCAGTGCTGTGGTGGATGGATTGGAGAGGTGAGAAAGTGATGATGAGATCATCTTAGGTGAGGAAATTGAGACTTTGAGTCAGGGTATCCTTTCTGAAATGCAAGGAGGAAGGCAAATATAATATTGTAGAGGTCAAATCTGCATGCTTGCAGAGAGAACGATGGTCCTAGTAATAGGAAAGGTAGTTTAGTAAGGAAAAGTCTTCTAATGAGTAAAATAAGTTTTAGACAAGTTGAATTATAAGTGCTTCCAACCATTCAGATAGAGGTCCAGCAGCAATAATCATGTATATTAATATCTTCTCTCAGCTCTGTTGCTGAAGTAATAAATGATCTGATAATTGGTTTGGGGGTGAATCTTGAGAATGATAAACAGGGAAGGGTCTATAGCTCAGATTTTCCATTTCTAACTTATGATGAATGTGTATTTTGTTGAATTCATGGTACATTTACTTTTCATGAAAGCATGATCAACCATTGTTTTCTAATATTTAAAAGTTGATTATTAGATTTAATAATAATAATATTAATTCCTTAAATAATTTAGTATACTTAAAATGTTAAGTAAAATAAAATATTTAATTAAAAATTAAGTAAAATATTAAATACTGCTTAAACTATTTTGCATTTTAATAATTTTAAATTATTTTTAATAACATGTAAAATTTATATACTTTGAACTATGGTTTAAGAGTTACATTGATCTTTGAACTCCAAAATTCTGCAATTAGTAGTCCCCTACTTGAGCTACTTCTTGTATTATGAAAAACACATATGCATACATTGAAAAACTTTAATAAGGGAATACTAAAAAATAGCTGTTGAGTTAGCTTTATATATCGTCTCTATAATATTTTGTTTTGTATTTATAAAAAAAGAAAAAGACTTCAAACTGGAAATAAGGCAGTTTAAGTCAGAATTTATTTTACTTTAGAATAAGGTTAGGAGTTCATATGTTTAATAGAAATGAGTTAGTGCAGCATGGTAACTCAGGCATTTGGGTGAGCACCTCCTCTTCCTTGGTATCTTCCAGTGATTGACAGTCTACAACAATGGCAGTTGACAGTCCACCTGCCTAGGTTTTATTGCCTCTCCCCTAGTCTTTTACTCTCTCACTCTTCTCCAGCTGACATGGTGTGTGGCCCAATACCAACACTCACCTCACAGAATCTCTGCCTTATCTTTAAAAATTAATAATTTTTTAAATTTAATAAAATTTACAGTTTAGGGGATAAAGCCAACTAGGTGGAGTGAGATTGATACTGTCAGAGGTACATAAGTTTGAGCTTCTCCTTTTATCTTGTTTTCTTTCAATTCTCCCCTCCCCCATTTTCCTTTTCAATTGTCCTCAAGCCTCAATCCCCCAAACATGGGTGTGTTGGGTAGTATATTTAAAGTTGGAAGATTGGTAAGAGCAACATTCCAAGTCTTTGTTTCCACTTAAAACTCTGAATAATGCTAACCAGAGTACTTTGAGTAACTCAAAATGTGTCATTACATGCTTTCCTATTTTACAGTGATTTATGTGTATGTCTTACGCCCCAAACAATGATTATATTTGTATTTTCAGGGAAATTTTGGTGAAGTATATAAGGGCATATTAAAGGATAAAACTGCTGTTGCTGTTAAAACATGTAAAGAAGATCTTCCTCAGGAACTGAAAATAAAATTTTTACAAGAAGCCAAGTGAGTTCTCTACAGTGATATAAAATATGTGTTTGTAACATAATGAGTCATTAAAATGTAAGTTTGTAGATATCTTAAATTATGATTTGCTGAAATATAAACAAACACTTGTAAATAAGCTCTTATAAGTAAGCACATACACAAATGTGTAAACAGAAAGATTCAATGTGTAAGTTAAACTGTAGGTCAGTTTGGCAATTACAGTCAAAAGAACCAGATGCTAAAAAACAGTAAGTGAGGATTCTTCAAGTCCAAAAATATTGCAATTTTTTTTGCTTTTATCATACATGCATCTACATATGTATGGAATATGCAATGTTGTGATTGTCCTTATAATAAAAATATCACTGTATATTATATATAAATATATATATTCTCATATATATTTAGATATATAATTACATCTCTCCTACCCTACTTAGATATTATCACTTGATTCTTTTTTCCCATCTGTTAGTTTTCTTTTCTGAGAACCTCAAATGTCTTCTTTAACTCAGTGTCTGGCATTTGTTCCAAAATTTGCATATGGTATCTTTTCCAGTTAATCTTCTATTATAGAATGATTGTCTTCTTTTGTTTTTCTTATTAACTAAAATTTAATGTTCCAAATTGCTACCCCTGTATTGCAAGTAGTTAAAACTATTCTGTTAGTGGTAAAAATCTAGTATACAAGAAAATACAAAACAAATGGAAAGGTGCTTTGGACAGAGTGAGGATGGACATATGGTTGAGAAATGGATGGATGGATGGATGGATGGATGGATGGATGGATGGATGGATGGACAGATGGATGCATGGGAGAGGAGGAGGACACATGGATCCATAAATTGTTGGGGTAAATGGAGGGAAGGAAAGAGATGTATGCGGTGGGGGTGAGGGGGTGGGGAGAGGTGGTCCTCCACCATGGCATAGTGTATAAAATTCTGTAAAGTGCCATGGGAGAACAGAGGGCATGGCAGTGAGATAACTAAATTCCATGGGCATGGAGCATTTTGAAGTACATTTCTCCATTTATCTAAAAATGAATATTGACAGCAATGGATTAAAAGTTCGGTGCATTTATTAAATAATATCTATAGAATAAAGTTGAAAATATTTTTCACGTATATTGGCAATTTGGAAAAAAGTACTCTGATAAATTTAAAGTTATGCTATCACAATTGAAATCCATAGGTTCATTGTTTTATAGTTATTCATAGATTCTTATGTCACAAGTTATATCTAACATTTTCAAAAATATTTGCTTTCTAATTTGTGAACTGTTTTATTGCAAAATAGATTAATTTCCTTTTCTAAAATGAGATTATGAACTTTTATCTTAAAAATGAAAATTTTGTCCATGTGTCCTTTTGTCTTAGGTGTCCTTTAATAGATAACAGAATTGTATATTTAGATATTTAATATTATTTGAGTTCGGGTTGGCTGTTTTATGGAATTTCTTTACTAAGCAGTTTCCAGCCTCTGAAATGATAATTTTAGATTAAAGTCAAACATTCTAAAACTTTTTCATTCCCCATAAAAGTTGCAAGCTCAAAGTTATTGTCAAAATATTTCCCTCATCTCTAGAATTTTTCCCATCTTATCTTTTATTTATAAATCATATATTTTCAATCTAAAACATTTTTGTTAGTGCTATCTCTATTTTAATTGTACATGTACAAAACAAATTGTTTATCTTCAAATTAAGTTGTTTTTTATTCTCTTAGTAAAGAAAACTGCATCTTTCAAATTTAAATGAATTTATAACTCTGTCAGGATAATTTGGTAATAGAAATCATCAGGGTAGAGGCCTCAGAGGGAATCTAATCCACTTTTCACTCATGCTTGGAGTCCTATGGATTCGACTGTGCTACTTTTATAGCACTCTGAAATTTCACTTCAGCTAAACTGTCTTCTCTGCTTCAGCTTAAGTCTATATTGAAACTCTGTTATGCAATTATTTAACCTTTGCCAACTTTCTCGAAACTTGCGAGTTTTTACTATTTTGAAATTGATTATCATCATCAAAAAGCATTGATTTTAAGCTAAGTCGAATGAAATGATTACCCTATAGTATATACCAATACGAATTGGATTCTTATTGATATATCTTTTAAATCAAGTGTGTACATAAAACAAAACAAAAAGATGGTACCCTGGCTGCTGACAGTTTTAGATTCACTAGTACTTTTCAGCTATGCTTTTGTGGCGGTGACTAAACCCAGATACTTTGAAGGGAGTTCTATATTTTTAGACTAAGTAAATTATTCCTATTTAGTATAGCTGTTAGTCTTTCAGAGTGGAGAATAATTTTTAAGTGAATATTTAACTGAATTAAAGATAATTGACTCATTTGCACCTATATTTTGCCAATATTTATCAAAACTCATAAACACCCCATTTATCATAATTTGGGTTCATTCTGAAGTTATAAAAATTGAATTATGCTGATTAAAGTGTGATCTACTTGTACACACTATTTATGATTATAAATTAATGCTATATTATATAAATGATTATTCTTACCCTTTTCTCTCATTCAGAATTCTCAAGCAATATGATCATCCCAATATTGTCAAACTTATAGGAGTTTGCACACAAAGACAGCCTATCTACATCATTATGGAATTGATTCCAGGTAATAATTAGTTTAGAGGTTTCCTTGATAACATTTTAATATCATGTTTTATTACTTTTATATGTTCAGTCTCTGATTTCTCCTTGTAAAGTTTCCAAGGTTTAACATTTATTTTCCTGATGACAAAGAACTTGTACATATACTTGATATTTTTACAGTCTATAATACTTTGCTATTTTCTAGAAAATGTCAGCCAACCTTTTCTTTAACAAAAAATGAATTATTACAGTGCTGTTACACATGGAATTTAGTTATATATAATGTTTATGTGAGAAAGGCTGTTTAGAAAAATAGTCTACTTAGAGTTTATAACAATGATACAATACTGTCTTATATGTAGTTCACTGTATATCATTTTCTGAGTATGTTACCACACATCCTCTTGTTTGGTTGTATATAATAATCACATAGTGCTTTGGGTCACTTATGAACTGTGAACTCATTTCATATGTGGACAAAGAAAAAAGTTATCTATCTTGGCATTTGTCCTTGTATTTCTTGTGCCTTTCAACACCTCCAGGTTTGTTGGTTAACAACTTTTACCAACAAACAAGGATAAAATTGAACTGATACAGTACATTTCTAAGTTGTTTTCATTGTTCACCTTCATTTCATAGAAAATATTATCAGAGGTAAATTTTGATCTTTATAAGATTTACAAATACAGTGTTTAATAACCAAAAAGAATTTGCCATTACCTTTAATGACTTTTTACTCATTTTACAAGAAGAAATTTAAAGGAATATGAAAAATATTTCTAGCTGTAATATACATTAGGTGAACTTGATATTGTAGATTATCCATTAAATACTGTTTACATAATTCTTCCATTATTTAAGAATAATTCGTATCATTTTATCACACTGGTTTGCTTGCTGTGGGAATATTTCTTGGTATTATCTATCATACAGCTGCAGGATTTCTAGATCATCATCATCTTCATCCTCCCTTAGATGGCATTGTCTGTATTAGGGCCGTACAGTGTATATTTGCATGGTTTACACTGTTATTAATTTCTTACAGTGCCTTTCAATAGAGTTATTAAAAAATGATAGCATACAGTCTAAAATTTTAAAAACAATTGAGTTGCCTATTTTAATTAAAATAGAATATATAAATATTACAAATACATAAAAAACATTCACAAAGGTACAAATGAAGCCCCAGTTGATAAGAGATGTCACCAAGAAACCTGAGTTTGTGGGAGGGGCAGGCTTAATGATGAAAAGTGATTTTGGTTTTACCATGGATGATTACGGGACCATGAATGGCAATATCCCGATGGCAGGTCCAAGTTAAATAAAACGGAAGATGGCTTTGCACGAGAGCCAGGGAAGTGTTTATCTGGACACTGACTAGTAACTTCTATTGATAATTTTTTTAAATGAATAAGAATAATTTTCATTAGAAAATTCAAAATGTGATGAAAGGTATAAATTAAAAATGAAAACCTCCCACTCAACTATTTAAAGCTCATTGTTAATTTTTTTTGGTTTCTTTTCCAAGAAAATGTTTACTGCAGATACCTTGATTTTATGCAAATCCCTTTATTAAAAAATCATAACACTTTCAGATCTCTTTTCTTTTATTAATATAAGTTACTCGTATGGTTTCATTGCTTTATATTCATCCCTGTACGTCTATGTTGTCTTTGTAATGGCTACAGAGTATTCCATTTTATGGATCTATATTATTTAACCAATCCTCTATATGTATTTATGTATACTTTGGTTGTTTTGATTTTTATTATTTGTTTTTTGTTACTGTTTTACAAACAATGCTCAGTGAATATCTTTGGACTTATAAAAATAATTTTGAAATAGGCTAAAATTTCAGCCATGGGATTGTTGGGTCTGAGTTTACATGCATTTTGATTTGTAAACATATTAGCTTTCTATGGCCACATAACAAATAACCACAACCTAGCAGCTTTAAACAGTGTCCATCTATTACCTCACAGTTGTGTAGGTTAGAAATGCAGGCAGGCCTGACTGGGTTCTCTGCTCAGGGCCCCAGAAAGCCAAAAATTAGGATGTCAGGCTGAGCTCTTCTCTGGAGGCGCTGGGGAAGAATCCACAGCCAAGCTCCTTTAAGTGGCAGAATCCTGTTCCTGCAGCTGAGAAATGGTCTAAGGTTCTCCTTTGCTTGCTGGCAGCGGGGGGGGGGGCATCTTCCAGCTTCTGTATTCCTTTGCCCAAGGCCATTTTTATCTTCAGACTCAGCATGTCATATCTTTCAAGTGTTTTGAGTTTCTGTAACTTCTTCTGTGAGCAGCAGAACACTACTTTTTTGGAAGGTCTGTAATTAGATCAGGCTCACCTGGATCATCTCCCTATCTTGAGAGCAATTGTGCCATAGGACAGAACATAATTACAGGAGTGATACCCCATCATGTTGACATGTTCCAGGGACTAGGGTGGGACATCTTGGGGAGGCTATCTTTAAGTTCTGCCTACCACAGTTGATTTTGCTAAATTTTCTTGAATGCTAGTTGCAATTCAGGAACCTGAAACCACATCGATGAAGTTTTCATACTCTGTTACACTACCTCCATTGGTCGATCTTGCAATTTGAATGCATCTTTTATCCATGCATAATTTCATAGCATCATGCTTTGTCATTTGGAAAATATCAAATGATCAGGTTATGCAGATTTTCCAAATAGTGATATATTTCATTATAAAATATTAAAAGATCACATGCATTAATGTCACCACTAGTCTCATTGGAAAAGTAAAGCTATCTAGTTCATGGTGGCAAATATGTGTTTATTTTATTTAGTTTTTTTTGCAAATTGTGTTTTCTGAAATTTTTATTTTCATTTTAATGTTTGAATTTTATCACTGGTAACAAAAGCTGTCACCTTTTTTCCTTAAAGTGTCAGGCTTACTTCATTCTCATTTTTGAGAAAATATCTAATTTTTAATAATTATAATTTGTCACTTTCTCCTTTTGAAAATAGATTTATAATATGTGATTGATAGTACTTTATATATGTACACTTTATTGTATTGATACATATATATATACACCTGTGAAACCATCACCACAATCAAAGTAATGAACACTTTTAACCTCAAATTTTTCTCACATTTCTATTTAGTTCCTTCCTCTTGCTGTTCTCTACCCCCGTCCAGTCAACCAGTCATCTTTCTGAAACTATATATTAGTATTTCTCAGAATTTTATATAAATGGAGTCATACAGCCTATACGCTTTTTATTTTTTGGTGATTCATCATGTTGTAATATGTATCAATAGTTCATTCCTTTTTATTGCTGAGTAGAATTACATCACATGAATATACCACAGTTTATCCATTCAGCTGTTGGTGGACTTTGGGATTGTTTCCTTCTTGGAACAACTACAAACAAAGCTGATGTGAACACCCATGTACAAGTCTTTGTATGGACATGTGCTCTCATTTCTTGAGGGAAAATACCTAGGAGTGGAATGAATGGATCGTATGGAATGTACATGATAAAGACATAGCTTTGAAATCTCTAGTACTAAACCAGTTATATCTCACATTCAAATATGAAAATTGGACCAGAATAACAAGTTCAAAAATAATGGCCTCATTGGCCAGCAGAGTGGCTCAGTTGGTTAAGAGCTCGCTCAAGAGTGCGAGCTCTGAGCAACAGCAGTTCGAGCCCTGGCCCGAGCTGAGCTGCCATCAGGTGGCAGAATGGCTCAGCTAAAAATAATAATAATAATAATAATGGCCTCATAATTTTGTGACATTTTCAAGGTAAGCCTTGGTAGCAAACTCTTCCTGCTCACTATTTTTTTTTCTCTCAATATAGTCCTATGCACCTTTTCCTTTCTTATCAACAAACACATCAGAATTTGTAAAGCTAAATCAGCAAAAAAGCATCAAGTCCCTTGTAAAAAATATTTCCTACAAGGTAAAAAGCTGAAAAGTATATGGGGTTTATCTCAAGTACACAAGGTTTGTTCAACATTTTAAAATCTTTTAATGTAATCAATTGCATCAACAGGCTAAAAATGAAAAAGCACATGGTCACATCAATCAATGGCAGAAAAAAGCATTTGACAAAATACAACACCCATTTATGATTTAAAAAATCAGTAAACGAGCTATAGGGGGAAACTTCCTTAACTTGATGAAAATACACACACACACACACACACACACACACACACACACACACACACACAGTGCCAAAAAGTTGTATACACATTTTAAGAAAGGAAGAAACTGTATTAAAATTGTAATAATATATACCGATAACAAAAGATGAATACATGTCATGTTTGACTTCTGCAATAACAAGAGGTGCTCAAAGTGGTTACCATCAGCGTAATTTTAATAGTTTTTTCCTTTCTTAAAATGTGTATACATTTTTTTACCTATATATATGGGTATAGTTATATATATAGTTAATGGTGGGAAACTTGAAGCTTTCCCACGAAATCCAGGAACAAGGAAAGGATGCCATTTGCACCATTCTGTTTCAGTATTACCCTGTCCCAGCTAATGAAGCAGACAAGAAAAGGAAGCACAAGGTATATTGAAGACAGTTTTCCAGTTTCTTATAAAACTAAACACACTCTTACTCAACATACACTAACATACAATCATTATGAATCACCCTCTTTAGTATTTACCCAAAAAAGATGAAATCTCATGTCCACACAAAAACCTGCACATGGATATTTATAGCAGCTTCATTCATAATTCATTAAACTTGGAAGCAACCAAGATGTCTTGTACTAGGTGAGTGGATAAACGACCTGTGGTACATCAAAATAATGGGATATTATTCAGTGATAAGAGAAATAGCCATAAAAAGTCATACAGGAAATTTAAATGCATATTACTAAGTGAAAGAAGCTGATCTGAAAAGACTACAAATGTAATGTATGTGCCCAATTATATGGCATTCTGGAAAAGGGGAAACCATGGAGATAGTTCAAAGTTCCGTGATTGCCAGGAATGAAGGAGGAGGAAGGGACGAAGAGGCGGAGCAGAGGATC